TGGACTGAAGGTGGATTGTTGTGGACTGAAGGTGGATTGTTGTGGACCGATCTTGGATTGTTTTAGACTGAAGGTGGATTGTTTTGGACTGATGATGGATTGTTTTGGACTGATTTAGACTGATGATGGATTGTTTTGGACTGATGGTGCATTGTTTGGGACTGATAGTGGATTGTTTTGGCCTGATGGTGGATTGTTTTAGACTGAAGGTGGATTGTTTTGGACTGATGATGGATTGTTTTGGACTGATGGACTGTTTTGGACTGATGGTGGATTGTTTTGGACTGATGGTGGATTGTTTTGGACTGAAGGTCTCTTTTTGTAAAGACAATTTCTGGGAACTCCACAGCAGGCTGGTTTGAGACACATCAATAAGGTGCTATTTATAAGACGGATCCTGTTGGCAGACCTCAGACTGATGAAGTCTTTCAGATGAAAGAGGAAATGTTTCTCCCAATTTCTCCTGATTGAACTTTTTCTGTATTGATCTACCTGGATGATTGAGCTTAAATTTTTTTTTCGTTGGCTGTGTTTTACCAGCAGCCGATTTACCAGTACATAAAAAAATAATACATTTACTCTAAGTTTGTTACCGGTACGTGTTTCATTAAAAGTTTTAAAAAACTTTGTGTAAATATCTCATGCTACATCGTGCACACCTGAGACTTATAGACAAGCACGGCCTATATATGTACAAAATAGTTTGTATTTATTTTGCATTTAGTGGGCGTGGCTTATATTTGAGTGTGCTCCTTCGACACAATCTGTCATTCTATCCTCCTCAACAGACTAACCTCCATTGGCATCTCAGGTACTCCGTTAGACTGGTTCAAATCTTATCTCTCTGACCGCACTCAATTCATTCAGCTCAAATCCTTTCGTTCCCAGTCTTCCCCCGTCTCCACGGGTGTCCCCCAAGGCTCTGTCCTCAGACTCCTCCTCTTCATCATTTACCTCCTTCCTCTAGGTCACATCTTCCGTAAATTTGGTGTCCATTTTCACTGTTATGCTGATGACACACAGCTCTACCTATCAACAAAACCAAACTCCACCCACCCACCCTCCATCCTCACCGACTGTCTCAATGAGCTAAATCACTGGTTTTCTAACTTCCTACAACTAAACAGTAACAAAACAGAAATCATTCTTGTCGGTACCAAAAACTCTCTTTCAAAATCTGAAAATCTTCTCATCCCCCTTAACAACTCTCTGCTATCCCCCTCGCCTCAGGTCAAGAGTCTTGGTGTCATCCTCGACACCACTCTCTCCTTCACTTCACACATCAACAACGTCACTCGGTCGGCCTATTTCCATCTCAGAAATATTAACCGTCTCCGCCCTTCTCTCACACCCCGCTCCACAGCCATCCTTGTGCACAGTCTTGTGACTTCTCGGATTGACTACTGCAACTCCCTTCTTTATGGCCTCCCCAACAAATCTCTCCAGAAGCTGCAACTGGTCCAGAACTCAGCTGCCCTTGTCATCACTCAAACCTCCTCCTATAACCACATCACTCCAGTCCTGCAGCAGCTCCACTGGCTCCCGGTTAAATCACGCATAGTCTTCAAAATTCTTCTTCTCACTTTCAAAGCTATCCACAACCTTGCCCCTCCGTACCTATCTGACCTCCTACACATCTCCATCCCCTCTCGCTCTCTCAGATCCTCCTCTTCACTACACCTCCATGTACCCTCTGCCCGCCTCGCCACCATGGGGAGCAGGGCCTTCACCTGCTCTGCTCCTCATCCCTGGAACTCTCTACCCCCTGACTTAAGAAACACCACCTCTCTTTCTCTATTCAAGACTACTCTGAAAACACATCTCTTTAGACTCGCTTATCCTTAACTCTGCTCTATGTATTTTATATTCTGTATGTATTTTATATTCTTTATGAATTTTATTCCTGTTGATCTTTGTTCTTACTGTAAAGTGTCCTTGGGTGTCATGAAAGGCGCTTTTTAAATAAAATGATTAATATTATTATTATAGTCCAGAAATGACGATATTTCTGCACCATTTTGAACAGAAGTAGTCCGATCTCCTGCCATGAGTTCTTTGTCTTTAATTGTTGCTGGAACGGTTGTAAAGTTGTCGGTAAACAGCCTCGGCCAGCTGCTCCGTAGTGGAGTTCAGCTTCTTCTTTGCACAAACTCCTGACAGAACTTGGCTCGAACCCGTTCAGGATGAAAAAACACTGTTCTTGGAAGCAGAGCAACCAATAAGAAGTGCCAGTTCTGGTAAGTGAAACAACTTGGGGCCTTCTGATGGAGGACGTCTGGGCTGTGTCAGGACTTGCCTTAAGAAGACGTTGAAGCCGAACATGGTGAACATGATGGCCAGATAGCCCAGGACTCCCACGGCATAACTCAGCTTGTAGATCAGCAGGAACCACTTGTAGACCATCCTGAAGGCCAGAGGAACAGAAAGACACGGAACAAAACTTTCAGTTGGGTTGAATTAAAAACTCATGGGTGTAAACATCTGCTCACCGGCTTGTTCGATCAGAACCGCACATTTATCAGTTTCCCGTGATGATTTTAAAAAGGCCAAACGCCCCCGAGCCTCGAGCATGCTCACCTCGGTGTGCGGCAGGACAGCGGCTTGCGTGTGGCTATGAAGATCACGTAGCTGGTGACGACGGAGAACATCCCCCACATGGACAGGAACCTCCACCAGTACAGTCTGACGGTGAAGTACAGCGGAACCGCCCACATCTGGACCAGAGTGACGAGCTGGAGGAGGACAGATGTTTTAGGCGTGGACCCGGGGGTTCAAACCTTGGCGGTGGCATCACTCACGTTGTAGGAGCGGTGATGCCTCTGCTTCCACTGCACCAGAACTATCTGAGCCACCAGCAGCGTGGCCATGAGGATCAGAACCATCTCTGCGTGCATGGCCTCGTGCCCCCGGTGTTTCACGTGCACACGCTCATGCTGCATCCTGCAGGAGGTGAGCACACCTGGAGTTAAACACCACGCAGAGGTTTAAAGGAGAAACATGAAGAACTCACTTCCAGTTTTCTCTGTGCGTCATCTTCAGCAGCTCGTCCTGCAACGAGACAAACATCAGCTGATGGAGGTCCAGGGTCCCTCTGGACCCCTCATGTAGGTCAACACCTGAGCAGATGCCGGTCCACTTCATAAAGTCCAACCAAACCCGATCTGAACGTGTATTTATTAAAAAAGGCGCGTCACATGCCACGTCCCAACATCTGAAGCTAGCTCGTTAGCTTTAGCCTGGAGATGTTAGCATCACAAACGGCTGGTTTGGTTTGAACTCCAGATTATTTGTTGGTAATTAAAAGGTAAAATGAAGTACCCACCTGAGGATGTGCAGCTGCCATCGTGTTTCCTGCCCTCCCCTGGTCGTTAACCAGATGTTTGTCCGCTAACAGCTGCACGGCAGGAGTACGGGGAGCCGAGAGGGTCAAAATACCCCGCGCGAAAAAAAAAAAAAAAACTTATCCATTTTCTTTACCCGCTTCTTCCGTTTTAGGTCACGGGGGTCGCCGGTGCCCATGTCCAGCAATCACTGTGCGAGGGGCGGGGGACACAGCCTGGACAGGTCTCCAGTCCATCACAGGGACACAGAGACAAATGAGATAATAATCCAGGTAGAAAAATCTAAAAAAGTTAAGTCTGGTCCTCCAAAAAACTACAGCCACAGAATCAGCCATCCGCAACAACAAAATGTCAACTTTCTCATGATAATCTTTCTGGTTCAAAATCACTGTGCACCTTCCTTTGTCTGCTGGGAGAATGATGATGTTTTTGTCCTTGCTAAGAGTGGTGAGTGCATCCCTCTCCTCTCTACTGATGTTGGAAGGTGGTGGTTTGGCATTGCTGAGGCACTTGGATTCAGAGTTGTTCTGCTTCACTCCTTAGTGACTTAACCACTTATGAACCTCTGAAAAGATCCAGGAAGTGGTTACAAGAAGAAGTTAATAGATTGCCTGAAAATTTGGAGCAGGACAAGGCTATTGACCGTATTCTGTACCACAGACTGTACCCAGGGGAGGCCACACCTAGTCTGTATGGTTTACCTAAAATCCAGAAACAAGGTGTACCTTTAAGACCTATTGTTAGCATGATTAACTCTGTCACTTACAATGTTTCCAAATATCTGGCGTCTGTACTCATCCCTTTAGTTGGCAGCTCAGACACCACATACAGAACACCATGGACTTTGTGGACAAGGTGAGGGATGTCATCATGGAGACTGATGAAACAATGGTCTCTTTTGATGTCACATCACTCTTTACGTGCATTCCTGTTGATGATGCAGTAGAGGTGGTCAGTTTAAGATTAAAATCAGACACCACTCTGAGCAGCAGTACTTTCCACAGAACAACTGTGTCAACTCTTGAAACTGTGCCTGCAGTCAACCTACTTCACATATGGGGAGCAATATTATAGGCAGAAACATGGGTGTGCTATGGGGTCTCCAGTTTCTCCTATTGTTGCCAACCTGTACATGGAGGAGGTAGAAAAGAGAGCCTTGATGTCCTTTTCAGGGACACCACCAAGTCATTGGTTCAGGTATGTTGACGACACCTGGGTTAAAATTAAATCTCAGGAAGTCCAACATTTTACTGACCACATCAACTCTGTGGATAAATACATCAAGTTCACACGAGAAGATGTAAAAAATGGCAGGTTGGCTTTCTTGGACTGTGAGGTCTCAGTCTCTGATAGAGGACATTTGCAAACTGAGGTGTACCGCAAACCCACCCACACAGACCAGTATTTGCAGTTTTGACTCCCATCACCCTTTGGAGCACAAGTTAGGAGTCATCAGGACTCTGTACCACAGAGCAGACAGCGTCCCCACTAGCTCAGGAGCCAGGCAGAAGGAGAAATCCCACACAAGACAGGCTCTAGAGCCATGTGGATATCCTAACTGGGCCTTCCTGAAAGCAGAGAAGAAACCCAAACAGGACTCCAGTCAGCCAACAGGTGAAAAGGAGGAACCCAGACCCAGACCAGTGGTCATTCCGTATGTTGAGGGAGTATCAGAGAAACTGAGACGTTTATTTTCTAAACATAACGTCCCAGTGGCTTTTAAACCCCAAAATACATTAAAGACTGGTTCATCCCAAAGATCCAGTCCCCTGGCACAAACAGTAATATCGTGTATGCTGTTCAGTGTCAAGAGGATGATCAGGATTAACCTTGGGGAAACTTTACAGCCACTGGCCATAAGGATGGACCAGCACAGAAGATCATCAGGCCAGGACTCTGCGGTCTACACTCATTCCCAGGTCACTTTAAACAGGGGTGGAGCCTCCGGGTTCATCCGTCCCTTTTGCACTGCCATTATTGCTAGCATCACTCAACCCCCTGTGAATAAACAGCCATCAGGGTGCCAATGATCTATTGTTAGACTGATGGTTCTTATTTGTTAACGGCTAGTTCTGGATGCCAACAAACTGGTTGATCTATTACGAGGCACTTACCTCAGACTGAAGCCTTTCGGATGGACGAAACATTTCCATGCTTTTAATGTCCAGAGGACCATTTACCTTTCATAGATTTTTCTTCCTGGATTATTGAGAATTCATCAGGATATTTAATATTGAGAAACAGTGACTTTGGACACCCAACGATGGTCAACACTTTAAGTGAGGTCCACAGCATGTACCAAATGTAGCTCATTACCTGCTGTCTATTAATTAATGGGAAGAACCACAAGTATAATTTAAGTCGATGAAAGGCAACAAGCTGTTGTACAGCTGTCCCAAGACTCCTAGATGAACAGGTATTTCAGCTACACTAGAGCAAATATAACAGTTGTGTAATGAGAACATTACAACACGTGAGGGGTGAATCCCATCCAGCTAAAACCAGTCACTCCAACTTGGCACTATATAAATTAATTGAACTGATAAAGGGAAACACTTCTCCATGAAGACACATTTTTACCTTCTTAACACTCCAAGTGCTTCATTGTTTGTTTAAAAGAAAAAAAGTCAGTCGCATTTAGATGGGATGAGTTTTATTGGACTGACAATCAGAAACACGGAAGTCTTAAATGTCAGAGTTGAAGGGTGAGGTCAGCGCAGCTGCTACACAGTCCACCTGTGAAGAAAGAATGTTGAGTCACGAAATGCAGAAAAACAAACAGCTTAACAGCCAGTAGTGAAGTCGCTCAGACATCCAAGGAAGGAGTGGACCATCTTTGGTCTCAAAGACCTCTGGTGGAAACTACGAATGGCAGGAAAAAGCATCATCACAGCGA